AGAGAGAGAGAGAGAGAGAGAGAGAGAGAGAGAGAGAGAGAGAGAGTGCTTCCCTCCAGAAAAATGTAATCTCCATGAGGGCAGGGAGCATTTCATTTTTGATTTTGTATTCCCAACCCCTTGCTCCTGACACTTAGTGGATGCTTAATAAATATTTGCTGAATGAATGAAGGTTGAAGCCAGATTGTGGAGGGTCCTAAATGCTAAGAAGTTTGCATTTTCTCTTAGAGGCAATAGGAAGTCACTGAAAGTTTCTGATCAAAGGAGTGACAGGGTCAGATCTTTTTCTCAAGAAGATAGGTGGAGAGAACTGGCCCGAGGTGAGAAATGTTAAAGGTCCAATCAATAGAAGTTGTCAGTTGTTTGTATACGGGTAGAGAGAGTGTGGCATGATTTAAAATTACTCTGAGACTTGACAGTGGATGATTGGAAGATGGCGGGGCACTCAGTAGAAACAGGGAAGCTTGAAAGAGGGGTGCATTTGGAAGGAAGGGGATGAGTTTGGTTTTGTGCATATTCAAATTAAGGTACCAGAGAGACATCCAGGTGGAAAGATCCTACAGGAAGGTAGTTGTTGGTGCAAGACACCTACACTTGAGTGGTTCAGGAGGCAGATTAAAACTGTTCATATACATTTAGGAGTCATCTGCTTAGAGGTGATGATTGAACCCAAGGAAGAAGATGAGATCACTAAGAAGTGAAGGTTGCTTTGGGAGCAGGTGGATAATGAACCAGCACCCAAGACTGAGGAAGTCAGGTGGTGGGAAAACCAGGAGAGCCAAGGGAGGAGGGGATGGTGAAGACTCCACTACCCAGTGATTTCTTAAAGAGCAGGGACTGGTTTTTGCCATTCTTTTTGTATCCCCAAAGCTTAGCACAGTGTCTGGTACATAGCAGACGCTTAATAAACGCTATTTGTCACTGGCTACGTTTGTCAGCGCCAATGTGTCTTAGGTCCTTTAGGGCAAAACCAGTTCAACCTAATTCATATGCGTTACCCAGGAGGGCAAATGATAAACACATTTGGGTGCTGATGATGACAACAAATACCACTGGGATTGGATCCCAATCAATGAAACTTAGTTGGGGGTGGGAGAAAATGGCAACAAAGACTGCAGGCCGTTATATAAGCTGATGGAAGTAACTAGTACCCAAGCTATTATGGGCTTGTGGGAAAATACATAATTACAGACTTTCCGTGCCAACACTTCTGATTTCCTCAGCAGCCTCATGGGGCTGTTACTTTTTTTTTTTTTGCCAATATAGCCCATCCAACAAAAAAGTAATTGTGGTGTTTTAAACATGGTTATTAATTCCTTGAGTCTCTAACAGATCCTCTGGAATTATGGCAGTCTGTGGCCTAGTTATATCCACAGCCCATGATGGCCCAAGACCTTCCCAATTAACCAAGGTAAGCTAGAATCCCCTAACCAGCAGTTTGCAATGCCCTTGAACCAACTTCAACAACTCTAGAGCCAGGGCTAACAATAACATTTCAGGAAAATATCCAACCATATCTAAGAGGCATTTCAATTTTTCATCTGCCTAGGAATAGAAGGAATTGAATATGGTTCAATCTAAACCAATCAAGGCTAGGGCTTAATGATCTTTAGATACCAGGATTTTGACTGTGACAGGTTTGTTGTAATTGGGCTTTTAGGAGGGGGGAAAAGATACTGGATTTAGACCCATCCACATGGGCTAAATCCTACAAGAATCTTAGTCTTAATTTGGAGTTTAGGGGAAGAGAATAGGGAGAGAAAGGGAAGAAAAGGGAAGGTTGGAGTGGAAGATGGCAGGGGTGTTGCTGCTCCCAAGTTGGAGAGCAGAATGAAAGCTGTCAAGAGAAGACTTCTAGAATTGTGATGTAGGGAAAAAAAGGGAGATGAGACCAATAGTCACAGTTGGCAACCACAGAGACCGAGGCATTTATTTGTCAGTCTAATAATAGCAACAGAAAGGTCTGCTGTTTTCCTGGGGTGTGTTAACGACAAAAAGAAGAAACTCCCAAGACTTGTTAAACCTGATAACTTCTAATCACCCCTGGTGATCCATGTGGACAAAAATGATACTGCTGGAAGGAATCCAGAAATGAATGCTAAGCATTTGGAAGTATTCAGTGAGAAAATGAATGCCTTAGCGGTATATATTCTCATCCCTGTTGTGGATTTGGGAAATTAATGACCTAAAAGGTGAATAGCTAATTAGATGGTATCTGGGAAGGGAATTGGGAATTCTGGACAATAACCATCAAGCTTCCCTTTGATTCCTGGCAAAATTCTAGCATTAAAGGAAAGTTTGACAACAGCTAGAAAAGCTAATGGTCATAATGGGCCAGCATGAGCAGGTCATGCATCTTTGTTCTTTCTTTCTTTCCTTCTTTTCTTCTTTCTTCCTTTCCTCCTTTCTTCCTTTCTTTCTTCCTTCCTTCTTTCTTTTTTCCTTCTTTCTTTTTTCCTTCTTTCCTTCCTTCCTTCCTTTTACAAGGTGACTAGACTTGTAGATTAGGAGAATGCTGCAGATATTTAGCTCACAAGGATTAGTTGATCTAAAAAGTATTTGAGGGGCCTAGTGGACTGCAAGCTCAACATGAGTCAACAGTGTGATGAGGTAGCCCAAAAGATCAAGGTGTTCTTAGCCTCCATCAAGAAAGGGCCAATGTCAAGAACAAGGACGCCATACTGTACTTTGGTCAGACCACATGCAGAATAGTATGTTCAGTTCTAGATGCTTCATTTTAGGAAAAACTGGGTACACTGAAGAGCGTCCAAAGGAGGACAGACAACCGAATGCTGAAGGAGTCTTAAAATCAAGCTATATGAGAACTGGTTGAAGAAACTTGTCTGTCATAGCTAACTGGAGAGATGATTTAGGAGGCACATCACAGCTGGCTTCAACTATCTAAATGCTGTCACATGGAAGGCAGCTAGGTGGCGCAGTGGATAAAGCACCAGCCCAGGAGTCAGGAGAAACCGAGTTCAAATTCGACCTCAGATACTTACTAGCTGTGGGACCCTAGACAAGTCACTTAACCCTGTTTGCCTCAGTTTCTTCATCTGTGAAATGTGTTGGAGAAGAAAAAGACAAACTACTCCAGAATCCTTGCCAAGAAAACCCCAAATGAGATCAGGGAAAGTTAGACATAATGGAAACAACTCAACAACATGTGTAAGAGGGATAGACTCAGGGCTGGGTTGGAACCAGCTCAAACTGGCTCACAGCAGCCAATTGTTAAATTTTCAGTGTGGGCATTGACACCTCTGAAATCGGCAAAAGCTACAAAGCAGGATTTGATTTGTTGTTTTGTCGGTTGTCTAGACTTAAGAAAGTAATGGAGAAAATATTAATAATACAGATTAAATTTAAAAGTGTATTGTGAATATTTTTTCCTCCAGAGAGCCAGTTGTTAAATATTTACTACCACACCCCTTGATAGAAATAATATTTTATTGGGGGGGATGAGGCAGTTGGGGTTAAGTGACTTGCCCAGAGTCACACAGCTAGTGAGTGTTATGTGTTTGAGGTCACATTTGAACTCAGGACCTACTGACTCCAGGGCCGGTGCTCTATCCACTGCACCACCTAGCTACCCCCAGAAGTAATTAAAAACATTTTCTTTGGCTCCAGAGAATAAAGCTAGGATTGATGGGTAGAAATTACAAAGAGATTAATTAAGATTTGACATAAGGAAACAACCTCTAACATGTAGAGCTGGTCCAAAAGCGGAAGGGCCTCTTTGGGGAGTAGAGAGCTCTCAAGCAAAAAACTAGATGATCATTTGTCAAGGAAGCTGCAGAAGGAGTTCTCACTTAGGTCCAGTGGGGCTCAATGTCATTACTTTAGAGGCCTCTTCCAATTCTGAGGTTTGGGGATCTTGCAACAAAATCAGAAGACCTGGATTTGAATCTCGCTTTAATACTACCACTTATTAGCTCTGTAACCTCAGGCAAGTGTCTAAAGGTCTAAGGTCCCTTTGAACTCTGACATCATATAATCCCATAATAACAACACTGACATTTGCACGGTGCTTTGATGCTTGCAAAATGCTTTCCATGCGTTATCTCATTTGATTGTTATGACAACCTGGGAAGGCCCACGCTGGCTGGAAAACTCCAGTGGCCCAGAAGGGACACATAGTGGAGTGGTAATGTCTGACTTCGTTCCATCACCAACTGCTACTTACCCTAGTCTGTCCACACAGGCAGAGGAGATGAGATTATGTTGACAGCCGGTGTCAACCAAGGCTTTCAAGTCCTTTCCAGCGCACTGTGGAAAGAAAAATATGAACCTTGACGGGAGCAGTAACTATAGATGCAAAGGGGAGGGGGACCAAGAGAGGAAGATGCAGAGACTAAGAGAGACTTAGAGAGTGAGACACAGGCAGAGTATGGCCTTGATAGCTGGTGCAGTGGACAGAATGCTGGGCCTAGAGTCATGAAGACCGGAGTTCAAATTCAGCCTCAGATACTTACTCTCTGGGTGTTCCTGGGCAAGTCACTTAACCTCTGTTTGCCTCAGTTTCCTCAACTGTAAAATAGGGATATTTTATCACATACCTCCCAGTGTTGCTGTGAGAACCAATTTGTAAAGTGCTTAGCAAAGCCCCCGACATATAGTGGGTGCTTGATAAACGCTTGTTTCCTTCTTTCTTTCCTTGATGGTTCACAAGGTAGGTGAGAGGGTGTTCCTCCGGGACCCCGTTGCTTATGAGAGCTTGAAAAACATTCCTATCCTCAGGCTTGATCTGAGAGTATTTGAGCTGTACGGGTTCCCCCAGACGGACATGAGACCAAGGGACTGAAGAATTAAGAGGTGGCAGTAACCTTGGTTAACCACGTCCACCCACACCTTCATTTTTTAGATGAAAACACTGAGTCTGAGAGAGGTTAAATGACTTCCCTGAAGGTACATAGAAAGTAAGTGGTGCTTGTTGGCTGTATATTCTGACTCTGGTCCTCCCTGTTCCTCTCGACCCAGTTCAACCTAACTCTAGCCCACTGTCTGGATTACACATCTTGTCTGAGTCCTCCATTTTGGCTGGACACCCCGATTCTTTCCTTGGTTTGACACCGAGGACTAAAATTAAGGATATTAGGCTGGTTCCTGGGTCTTCCCTAGGTCAAAGCTGTCTGTATCTTGGTGCTGATGGTGCTCCCAGAGGGCCCCGGGTTCCTCTTTTTCTGCTGAGTGGGGCTGGGGGAGATCCTCTGGTCAGAGAGGTCCCTCTGATCCTCAGACAGGAGTGCAGTCTCCCTCCCCACCCCCACAGACACTTTGTGCAGCGTGTTACCTGGCAGGACACCAGAATCATGTCCCCTTCCTCAGCCTTCTTTAGCCCCTCAGACTTGGCCTGATTGAGTCTGTTGGTCTTGGGGGCCCAAGGGACCCTGGTGTTGCGGAGCTTGGAGAGGTTGGTTTCCATGAGGCGCCTCTGCAGGATGTTGTGGGGTTGCTTGAGGAAGACGAAGAAGAAGGGCCTTAGAAAATTGGCGGCCATGACCCAGCAGGCCCTTCCCGCGCACCCTTCTCCAGCCCCGCCCCCACATCTATCTACCTTCAACCTCATTGTATTCAGGTATTAAAGCCAGTGGCATGGGCTCAGAGTCTCAATGAAACATGTGTGTTCCTAAAAATAACTTCATACTTTTGACTCTCATTCCTTTAAGAAAAAGATTTTTATTGATGTTATGAGAATTTTTTATTTTAGTTTATTAACTTTTTATTATGGGGGCGGTCAGGGCCGTTTCTCCTAGTTAAGAGGTTTTTGAACTGGCTGAAAGCTGTTTCATGGGATGTGAAAAATTTACTTAAGACCTCAAACATTCCTCAGATAAGAAGCCAAAAAGGCAGTCGGGGCTTCCAAAAGTAATTTGACTTACCTTATTTGAGGAAGGATTCAAGTGATGTGGACTCTGTGGACATGTAAATCTCCCCTCTCAATCAGCCCATTGTGAACCCCCTAGATACAGTTTAACCTGTAACCTGACTTAGTTTGCCTATAGAGTGTGTTTTAACTAGGTTTGTTTCCTTAGGGGATATATGAGATGATGATTCGGTTTAAGGTTGTTCAACTTTTAGGTCCTAAGAGGATGTATGAGATTGCAATATGTAAAAGATTGTAATTTTGTCTACAAAAAGCCTCTTTAGAATCCTAATCTTGGTTCAGGTTTTGTTTTTTTTTTTTAATCCTGAATCTATGCATAGACATAATAAAACTTGGGTTTTCGCCTCTGTAATTTCTGCACGTATGGTAGATTTATTTCGACTACAATTATCTACCACATAAACTCAAAAAAGGAGAAATTTCCCTGTAACATTATTATCTTTTGATTTTTTTATTACTTAGATTTCTCTTTTTATCCCTCCCTCTCTCAGAGAGACATTCCTTATAACAAATTTCTTCAAGAAAAGAAAAAATTCAGAAAAACTGATCAAGACATTGCTTTGTGCAATGGTTCACATACATGGACCACCTCTCCCCCACCTTTGCCTCTCATTTCTACTTCCTCTGCGTGGGTTTACCTGGAATTTTGTGTCTAAGAAGGAACTGTGTTCCTGTTCACCTGCAGGGGAATTCTGGGTCAAGGTCAAAACCAGTAGGGAGTATTTGAGGACATTGGCCCCACCTCAGGTGGAAGCAACTGCTCCCCCCTCTAAGTTAATTACATTTGCAACAATAACACATTTATACAGTGTCTCAAAAGTCTTTGTTCAGTTTTAAGCTAATAGTTTAAATAACTAGCTTGTTGAAGCTTAGTAGTTTTTTTTTGGTTGTTTTGGTTTTTTTTCAAGCTTAATAGTTTTAAAACTATTGTATGTATTAACTTTTAGTACATCCTGTATAAGCACTTGGAGACTTACAAAACACTGTCTTAAAAACAACCCAATTGGTGGGGCTGCTGGGTGGCACAGTGGATAGAGCTCCAGCCTTGGAGTCAGGAGGACTTGAGTTCAAATCTGACCTCAGACACATAACACTTAGTAGCTGTGTGACCCTGGGCAAGTCACTTAACCCCATTGCCTAGCTAAAAAGAAAAAACTCCATGGGGGGAAGGTAGGTAGGCAAGTATTATTATCCTCATTTTACAAGTGAGGAAACTGAGGCTCAGAGAGGTTAAGTCACTCGCCTACTGTTACACAGCTAATAAGTGTAGGAGTCAGGATTCAGATCCAGATCTTCTGACTGGAGGAACGGCAGAATGAACAATCCTGAGATCCTGAGACTGCAAACCCAGCTCTGTGCTCCAAACCACTCTACTATGCTGCCCGTGGGCCCAATGGTTATTTCTGGAGCTCCATTAGAGTAAAATTTCCCCAAAAGACTCTCACTGAAGAGGGCAAAGGGTCTGTATGAAGCAGGACCATTAAAAGAGTTATGAATATTCCATGGTCAAAGAGATGGGGGAGGCAGTGGTGCTTGTGAACTTTGAAAACGGTTTGGAGTCAGGACCTTCCTCACCCCCAGATGTTTGCTGTACCACTCCCAGATGTCCCCAGTGGAAAAGAGCCCATAGTGACTTTCTACTCTGTGGTCTCTACTCCAATCCAGGCAACCAGAAAACTAGTATCCTAAAGAGAGGGTAAGGTGCCCAGTCAACATCTTTTGCAAGAGGCCTTTCCTGGGGTTCCTTATGTCTCCACTCCTAGTGCATACCCTCTAAAATGATCTCCCATCTATACTATGTATGTATATACATATATATATATAGTATGTGTGTATTTACATATAAATATAACATATACACACATATTTATGTATTATATAATATAAAATATAATGATATATAACATAAATTATGTATAATATATTTATATATAAAGATATGCATATACATACATATACACATGCACATATATAATGTCTTTTATATATAAATATGTGTGTATATATTGTATTTACCTAGTTGTTCGCATGTTTTCCCCCATTAGAATGTGAGCTCTTTGAGGGCAGAAGCTGTATTTTTGCCTTTCGTTGTATCTCCAGATCCTAGTGTAAGGCCTGGCACATAGTAAGACCTTAATAAATACTTGTCGATGGACTATCTCCTATCTTACTGAGACTTTCACTTACTCGGGGACCAATGTCTTTTAGGACTAGTCAACTTCTTTGTGGCTGCCTTGAATAGAATGTGAGTCAGGGCTTCTCAGGAAGCTAAATAGTCTGGAAATCAGCTTTGGGACTATCCTACAGACCCCCAAAATACCACTATCCTTAAGTCTGAGACATGCTTTTTTGTGTGAGGCATTTGAGGTTAGGCGCCTTGCCTAGGTTCACACAGCTAGTGAGTATTATGTGGTTGAGGCTGGATTCGAACGGTCCTCCTGACTCCAAGGTCAGAGCTCTATCCGCTGTGCCACCCAGCTGCCCCAAGGCTGAGACACGCTTGACCCTCCCCAGTTTTGTGTCCATCATCCGCCCTCACACTCAGCAGGGTTAGAATCAGAGAGACAGCTTAGAAGGGATCCCAGAAATCAAAGTATATACATACATATATGTGTGTATGTATATATGTGTGGATTACATATACACACATGTATGGTTATCCGTATGTATATATGTATACATGTATGTATATGTATATGATATACATATATTTGAAATGATCTTAGCTCTAAAATAAGAGGGCACCTCAGGGGTCACCTAATCCAACCTCTTCATTTCATAGTTGAGGAAACTGAAGCTCAGAGGAATCACCCACCTTGTCCATCTAGGCCTGGTGGGGGTTGGGGGATACAATAGACCCCAAGAGAAAAGTCTCACTCCTACACAGTTGATTACTGAGGTATAGGCCCCTCTAGAATCAGAATGACTCACTGACTTAGTGTAACCCTGATGGGAGAAGCAGTTTCCCAAAATACCCTGGTTGTTGGCAAAGCAGGTTTTAAATTAGTATCATGGGGAGAGGGCGGGAGGAGGTTAGTTGGGAGTGGGGGAAGGGTGTGTCACTACATAGAAAGTGAGAGCTTAATTTGATAAGGAGTGGGTAGAGGCAGGGCCTACTTCCGGTGGTCATTCTCCCCAGAATTCTGTCGTGGCAATAAGGGGCAGGAAGCTCCTTGTTCAGAGTCGCACAGAATTTATCCAGATCACGGAGGGGTCTGGATTAATTTAGATTGCATCAGGCTCTATCGAAGCTGGAAAGCTGTCTTCTATTCAGCAAGTCTGATGCCAACAACGGGAGCTCATTCATCCCTCAGAGGGAAACGCTGTTTGGTTAAATTGCTTTGCAGGTTTAAAAGAAAAATGTTGAACTGAAAAGATGATGGTTTCTGTACATTTTCACTCAGACAGAAGCAGTAAAGGCGGGAAGCCGAGCCAGGGAGATTTGCGAGCAGGAAGGAAGCCAAAGACCTTTTCCCTCTCCTGGTCCTTCCATGAATTCATTTTTCTCTTGGTCTTTGGATCTACTCGAGTTTCTGCTCGCCTGACAAAGATGCCCCCCTTTAGGTGCTGCTACCGGGAGCTCAGAGCAGGTTGCTTGGAGTCTCAAGGGAAAGGGACAGAGTAGTAGAGGTATAAGGAATATTAGAAAAGCAGCACAAACGGGTGAAGAGGAGGGATAAGAATGATCACCTTCAGACAGAAGAAGAGGGAGTCAGAGGAAGGGAAGGGGACTGAGATGAACTATCCTTGTGTAATATGGGGCATAATTCTCTCCCTTATGCTGATTCCTCTTATTCCCCCAACTTTCATCAAAGGAAGTTAAAATGAGGGTGATGAGATGATTAGTTACGAGAGAAAGTATGGCACAGTGGAGAGATCACTAGCTTTGGCATTAGAGGATGAGTTTAAATCCTGCCTTTGACTCCACCTGGGGGACCTTGGACAAATCACTTAACTTTTCTGGCCTCACTTTCCTCCTCTGCAAAATGAGGAGATTGGACTAAATAGCTTCTAAAGTCCCTTCCAGCTGTTGATCTATGATCTCCTGACCTGGGCTCTGTTACTTTGCTCTTCCACCTATCACTCCATGGGACTAAGTGGACCATTTATTCATGGCCCTATGGATAGTACTGCAAACCACCGGTATTAAAGGCTCCTTGGCGACCTGAATTATGAGTACTCTCAAGTGGGGAGTACCAGGCTGTCTTGTGTTATCTCAGGGTCAGGGACCTGGAGTCAGAAAGGAGGAGAGAGCCCGGGCTGGGAAAAGAAAGATGCAGGGATAAACTGATGCTGAGTGAAGTGAGCAGAACCAAGAGAACACTGTACACAGTAACAATGCTGTGCGATGACCGACTTTGCTCTTCTGAGCAATGCAATGATCTAAGACAGTTCTAAAACACTCCTGCTGGAAAATACTATCCACATCCCGACAAAGAACTATGGACTCTGAATGCAGATCGAAGCATACTATTTTCTCTTTCTTTTGTTTTTTCTTTCTTGTGATTTTTCCCTTTTGTTCTTATACTTCTTTCACAACATGACTAATGTGGAAATATGTTTAATAT